ACAGCAGCTGCTTCGGTGTATGGAGAAGTTGAGATCCAGTCCAACTGGTGCTTAGAGATGAAGCAGGAAATAAACCACCTTTTCCTTCACACACGTATATAGGTATAATACTCAAAATCTTACTTTTCTTTTTATTTTACAATACTATATTGAACACGTACGGTATCATCCATGTTCACTTGATAAAATAAAGTTTCATATGCAAGACAAGATACACCCGGCCAGTGCGCACTACTGCTGCATATCACGTGCTTTCTTCTCAAGATCGATCAGCTATCATTAGCGATATGATGCGTACTCCCTCCGTACTTAAAAAATAAAGTCGTTTTTTAGAGCGACATGATCTTTAAAGCATAACTTTGACTACTTATTTTTATAAATATATTTATCAAAAAATAATATATGTAAATTTTTGTGAAAGTATTTTTTAAAACAAATCTATACATATAATTTTCACATTTCCAAACTCATCAACTTAAGAGTTATTTATGATTTATATTCCTAATATTTGACTTGACCTTATTAATACGACTTCATTTTTTTACGATGGAGGGGGTACGTGAAGAAACAGAATAGGGGACACGTACGCGCACAAAGGAAAGGACCACCCCTGACGAATAATCATGCATTTGCATGCATGCATGCACTTTGAAACTGCCAAGTAAAGAGAGACAAATAAAATGCCAAAGGGCCAGGAAACAGGCCTGCATCTGCATGCACGGCAGTGGCATTTCCCAAAGGACGCGAATATAATACACGTGACGTGACGATGCATGCATGCACGTGACGTGACGATCTCATAAGTGAAGGATTATATATTAAAATGCGCCTATGTTTTAAAAATATATATGATGAATTTTAGAAATGGTCATCTCATTTTTCGAAGACGGTCTGGAAAACAATCTCTAAAAGTCGATTAACAGGGGAAATAGAGCATATTTTTAGGTTAATACTGAGGTCCACCATCTACCAGCCATGCCATGATGAACACGTAATAAACGAACCCCAGCCACCTGTTCCTTTCCCAACCACACCAAAACATCCCCTTTCTCGCCCGACCAATGTATTTCCCATCCTTCATTGAATCCTTCCTCTTTCATGCCGGCAGCACTCCAACCCCTCAACCTCTGCATGTTGCCTCTTTCTCTCTCCCCCATGTTGCCCCACATCGATGAGCCATGACGCAGATTAAATGGTGGACCTCTTTGAGGAACATATCGCGTGGATAGATTAAGTCTGTTTAGTTCAAAAACTTTTCCAAAAAGTGCTACAATAGCCATCACATCGAATCTTTCGATACATGCATGGAGCATTAAATGTAGACGAAAAAAAAAACTAATTGCACAGTTTGGTTGGAAATCGCGAGACGAACGTTTTGAGCCTAATTAGTCCATAATTGAACACTAATTGCCAAATAAAAACGAAAATGCTACAGTAGCCAAATTTCTAAATTATGTGAACTAAACACAGCCTAAATGGTGAACCTCTTTGAGGAACATATCGCGTGGATGCAACACAGTGCCGCCTCGCCCCCTCTCCCGATCTGTCTCGCACTATCTAAGGCAATGGCATCGGGCACCGCGTTTCCCGATCTTGTGGTAGCTTAGAGCACCTTCTTGTTCTCCCTTTTTCACTATATATGATCCGCATTTTCTGCCATCCACCATGTCTCTCGATATTCCGTTGTTCGTGCCTTCTCGTTCTCCCTATTTTTTCCTCATTTGTGATATTGTGAAGGGGATACCCCAGTGGCGGAGCTTGGTCCGCTTGATTTCTCCACTGAGGACCTACAGGATGCAACACATGGAGGTGTGAAGCTTCCGAGGCTGGAAGGACGAGCTAGTAGCCATCAAGGTAGCGGAGGTGGTAGGGGAGGAGGAGGAGGAGGATGAGCCTCCAAGTTGAAGCGGCACATTGTGACACCATGGTAAGGATGGCAGGCTTGATGTTCTCATCAAGACCAACAATGAGCGCTTTTTCAATTTACAGAGGCGGACACTCATTCCCATTTCTTATCAGAGGCCTCTTTCTAGAGGTGAACGAGAGTTGAGAAGCATAGATGGGATGTTATGTGCCAATGCAAGGATGAGGCAAGGGGCGTGTAAGGGACCGTGACGTCTAAGAGGAGGGTGAATTAGGCAACTTAAAAATCTACTCTAAACTATGGCCTCTAATTCCACCTAGACAAAACATTTGCAAGAAAGTAATCTATCTAGATGTACAACTATGGTTTTGCTATGTGTGTTGCTATCTCTACAGTAAAAGAGTTATGCAACCTAGGTTCTAATCCTATCAACTAAACTAGGAAAATAAAGCAATTAACTAAGGTAGCAATGTGAATGCGGAAGGTAAAGATGAGGTAGAGATGCAAACTCCCGTCTACGACTCCGCTATTTTTACCGAGGTATCGAGAAGCGCTCAAGCTTCCCCCTAGTCCTCGTTGGAGCCCCTCGCAAGGAATCCCTCGCAAGGGCCAAGCTCCCGGTCGGGTAACTCCGTGGATAGCCCCGGGCCTTCCCCACGTGCAAGTGGGTCTCCGGCATGCCTTCCGGCAAGCCTCTCCCGGATCGCTCCTCGCCGTCTTCACTATCAAGCTTCCGGCCGAACCGCCGCGGGCCTTGTTCCCTTCGGTACACGGTGACGGCCACACCACAAACACGGTTGGTGTGATCTCGCAAGACTACAAGCCCCTCCGATGTACAACAATGGTGCGCGCAAGCACCGAGTGATAAGAGGTGTGCAAACCTCACTAAACACTAGGGCTAAACCTAGAGCAAGCACATAAACGGTGGTCTAATTAACCTAAGCACTTCGCAAAGCACCTACGTTAATCACCTAATGAATCACTAAACACTATGCAAGTAGAGATCATTAAAATGGTGTATTTATGTTTCATCAGCTCTCCCACACTCAAATGGCTGGTTGGAGGCATATTTATAGCCCCACAAGTGAGAACTAGCCGTTGGATCCGAGACTTAACTTTCTGCTAGTGATCGGACGCTGATCACGTTCTGATCGGACGGGTCCGGTCCTGCTGACCGTTGGAGCGCGCGCGTTTGATCGGACTCTAGGCCGAGTCCGGTCTCACTTGATCGGACGCGTCCGATCACATTGGCGCTGCTCTAGAACCTTTCTGGACATGATCAGACACTACTTATTGGTGCGTCCGGTCGTCCTGCCGTCGCGTCCGATTACGCTGAGAACGTTGCCGTGACGATGAACAGTGTCACCTATGCGTCCGGTCATCGTGTATGTCACTGTGGTTGCACGGGCAATGATCGGACGCGTCCGGTGCCTTCGTGGCAACGTCCGGTCGTCTCTGCCGAGCCCCTTCTTCATTCGTTTCTTCACGATCTTGCGTATGGCTTGGTTCCTATCTTCGTGCTTGGACTTTGCTTGGTTTTTTGGGTCTTCTCTTGTGCTTCTAGGGTCTTGCTTATGGTGTTGATCGTCGGATCATCATATCGCCTCTGTCCAAGTCACGTCTTGCACCCTATTGAACTATAAAATAATTACTTGCAAATTTATTGGTCCAATTTGGTTATGTTGGTCATCAAACACCAAAATCTAAAGTAAATGGGCCTAGGGTCCATTTTCCTTACAGGGCGGGAATCTATTGTCGTTGACCAACACAAGGAAACCAGATGTGGAAGAAAAAACCACCATTTTGCATAACTAGGTCACACCTTATGTCAACCTTTTCTAACAAGGCCACCAATGAGCGTCTAGATCAGATGCATGTGGTACCTTATTCTAGTGCTAACAAGTGGTCTAAAATACCTCCCAATCCATTGACTGTGAATGCCATATGATCCACTCACATTAAAACCATATATATAAGAACAATAGAGCATCTCCAACGGGGACTCTAAACAGCACTCCTATTCTATTTTTTGGTGCTAGAGCAAACAAAACTTAATCCAATAGGGCCCTAACTCAAGTCTCTACTTTATGGAGGTCCCTAAATCCTCCCTCTTAGTCCCATCTCTCGGGGGAGGGGGGTGCTTCTTCCCGAACACCCCCCCCCCCCTCACCAACTCACTCCTGCACGTCTTTTTTTTTATCCTGACTCTCTCCCAGTCGCACTGCCGCCTATTCCCATCCCTTGGCAAAGCCCCTCGGCTCGACGCGGCTCCCCTTCCCAGCAGTTGTCTCGTCATCTCCCCAGGTGAGGCAACTTCAAAATGGCTCCTCTCCTCCCGGCGAGGCACTCAACCCTACCATGACTCCCCTCCCTTAGCGTCTTCGACGATGCTCCCCTCCCTCTTCTCACGCCCCCATATCCCAGTCGATTGGAGCGATGGTAGTTATGGCAGAATGAGAAGTGGGTCCCATATGCCAGTGAATACTAGAATGGATTTTAAGGCCCTGATTTAAGGGCTCCTGTTTAAGTAGGATAGCCCTCAAATAAAAAGTAAGGACGCTTAATTATTTGATGGCTCCTGTTGCAGTTGCTCTAACATAGTGGTAAAATCTAGCCAGAAACTTCCATGGGAAAATCACCTGTCATAGGTGCATAAACCAGTAGAAGACCTCGAATTATAGACCTAGAGTAGGGCAGATCTACGTGAATTCAACCCTGACCCAAGGTCTCCATATGCCACTGCACCACACCATGTTTTCTCTTTCATCCTTTCTTTAGATGCTATATATATATTGATACGTAACATAAAACATTTTTCAAGCAGAAATGTTATTTTTTATTGAGCACGAGCACTAAATAAATTGTGTAGCAGTTTCTAAAAATTGGAAGTCATGACATGGATTCAAAACTCCAATTTTGCACCCCATTCATTATTGGGGTCCCAATTCAAGATGCATGTTGATGGCAATAGAGCGTAGTACAACGACATGAAGGTAACACAACTGTGGTGGGTATACTAAATGACTAATGAGCTGATGAGTTTGCGACTGGCCAGCCAAACTTTGTGATGCAATGACTATATGTTGTTATAATATATAATATCTCTAGCCTTGTTTCGAGTTGTTGAATCCATGCATCATCCCTTGCCAACAACATTGTTTTGTGCCATCTCCTGCAGCTGAAAAATACATATAAATGCATGATATATAGCATTCAACAAAAAGGGTGTAATAAGTGAATAGTATATGCTGTTGATGAAGCTACTACCTTGGCCATCCTTGCTGCCTTATGATATCTGTATCCCTGAAACGTATGGTAGTGATTTTTAGTACAAATTAAAGATTTGTTTGGATCCACTACGATTATAATAATCAGCTAAAATAATCTAATTCTCATCCAAACACACTAGATTATGAGGTGGATTATTATAATCAAAACACCATATTACAATAATCCTATAATCTACCTAGCTCGGACCTGCTTTTTGATGATTATGAGTATTTTTCAATTGAACTAAGAATAATCCACGATAATAATCCAGGAATGTAAACACTCTGACTATATATTATAGTTCATAATTTAGATTATATAACAATCTTATGTATAACCTATATTCTAATAATTAACCCATCTATGAAAATGCCCTAAATATGGTCGTACGTTGTGCATACCACCTACTTTTGCAAGTGTTTTCGTGGCAAATAGGTAAATAAATTTTGTGCAACAAACAAATACTAGTGACAAAAATGTATACCTTATGCGTCCCATATATGTAGTCACAAAACGTGAATACCGAAGCGAAGTTGCTCTTGCTCCGCTTCCCAACATAGTGATGATAGTCATGGAATTCCGCTCCTCCATAAAATGGGATAAACTTGGTTGGGCTGAATGGGAGGTCGAACCTACACGTACTTGCAACAAATTTTAACTTTGTGATCGACATCGACCATGCATGCATGTACACACACGTGTGTGTGTGTGTGTGTTAGTGTGTATATATGTTTACCCGCTGTGTACGTCGATGGCCTCCATGGGGCGGACGATGAACCAGAGCCAGAAGGTGACCATGTGGCAGGGCACTATGGCCAGGCCGGCGAAGGAGGCGGAGCCTAGGACGAAGACCTCCGCCCAGTGCGCGTACGGTGCAGCATAGCCCATGGGCGCCTCGAACTCGTGGTGCACGCGGTGGATCCTGTCGTAGCACCACTCGGTGTGCAGCAGGCGGTGGATCCAGTATCCCAGGTAGTCCTCCACCAGCAGGTACACCAGCAGCTGCGCCGCCGTCTCCCCTGGCGACGGCAGCGGCAGGCCCGTCCGGATCCCCACCATCACCCTGAAGACGGGGTAAGAGATGAACGGGAGCGGCGCGGTGGAGAGGACGATGGTGCTCAGGGTGTTCTTGAAGCAGCGAAGGAAGGCGGCCGGGGACAGCCGCACCCGGGGCTGCAGCTTGTACGGCGCCGTCAGTTTCGCTGGCGCACGGAGCTCCAGCAGCACCAGGGGCAGCGGCGCCAGCGTGTACACGAGGAGGACGAAGACGACGCTGTGGCAGTAGAGGCAGAAGTCCGGCGTGGTCGCGGAGTAGCGGAACCAGGCGGCCTCGGACCACGTCATGGCGCGCCCCAGCGCCGCCTCCGCCTCGGCTGCCGTCGCGTATTGGAGCATCTCCGATCCGGCTTACTCGATCACGCACCGTTCATGTATGTACTATCTGACATTGCAACGGTGTGTGTGTCTCTCTCTCTATATATTAGTCTGTGCACTGTGCTTGCCGGCCGGCGAACATGCGTGGTCTAATGGTGACAACTGACAACATGCATGCATATGCAGTGATGGTGTGCTGGGACTGGGATCAGATGGAGACGATCTCCTCCGGTCCTTTCCCATGAAGCCATGAAGGAGCCTACTTTTTTTTTTTGGGCCCCGTTTAGTTCGCTGGCAGATTTGGCGCCGCCGAATATGGTAATAATGTAATTAGACTCAAAACTCCTACATGTGTAATTAGTTTTTTATTTCGTCAACACGTAGTACTGTAAGTTTGATGGTCTTTTCCAGTGACAAAATTAAGAATTTGGTGGAGCTAAACAAGGGCTTGTATGGATGTACTCCTACGTGCATAGCACGTAGGTATGGTCTTCCAGTGGTCCATTTTAATTATGGGGTCTACGTTTTGGACCCTAAAACACCCAAACTTTGGGTCATCATCCGAGATCCGGCCACCCATTTCTTTCAGTCCAACACTGTAGCTTGTTCCTCCTCGTGGTCTAGTTATTTTTTTGCTCCCGGTGATGGGCACTGCTGCTCCAAGTCACAGTCACCTCCATCCATGCATTCTTCCCTTCCAAAACCATCTCACCATACTTCTGTTTCCTGTCCATCTCGGGTTGGACCTCTAGCTATATATGCCCCCAGATTCAAGTGAGGCTCGTCGGAGCTTGATGAACCCTACAAGAAACCCCAAAGACTTAATTAGTTTTGCCAAAGTCGTTGGCCAAAGATTGAGAAGACAAAACTTGCTGGATCTCGCTAGGGTAGAGATGAGAAAGGGAAAATCCTGGTGTTGGCAAGAGATGGGACAAGCATCAAGGCATGCAAGCATTGTATTGCATGTATAATCATATTCATTTTAATTTTGTGTTTGTTTTTTCTCTAAGTACAGCGTCATTTGAAAAGATGAAGTTGACAACACTAGTGAAGGGATGGATGCATACAGCCAATCATTTGTGTGACATATCTCTACGTATGGCACGCCATATTCACCTTTGATATCTAGATGGAGGTATTAATTGGTGTAGGAAATCCATAATTAATTGGCTATGATCATCTGGCAACAATTTTTTTTTCTCTGCGAAGATCATGTAGCAATAATTGATAGCAGCTTCTATTACCTCGCTGTTCATTTGGAACAACTCAAGATGCATGGATGCTTGGTACAGTGCCTTCAATTCAACAAGAATACACCATATGGGTTGTAGTTCATGCATTGGACATATATCATTCTGAAGAACACCGAATCCCACTAATATTTCTAATAGATCCTGTATGACATGGGAGGCTAAAATTTATGAGCGATAGCTAGCTCATAGTTTCCATGGAATAGTCAAAAAAACATGACTAGAACTTCGTTCCATTATCTAAAAAAAAAGTCACAAAAACATGAAAGTGCTCTGAGACAACACCCAAAAAAAGAAAAAAGAAAAAGAAAGAAAAAAGGCTTTCAAATGTTAACTATACTCACGCATTGGGCTAAATATCCTCAGGATATCTAGGCCCACCAACTTTTATTACAAAAAAATGAATCACATCATAGGCCAAAAATCACAAGCGTTATAGCTCACGCTTACAACTCTGAGTCACATCACATGATAACCCTGGAAAGACTTGGAAGGCCTCAAAACATGACTAGCTGATGCTTCAGCCCAGATTTCCTCCATTACAACAAAACTAATCAACATTAGCAAAAGATTAGAAATGGCATGGGAACATCTAGGAAGGTCTAAAAATATGAGCTATGCAACTCATGTACTAGGCGATATGTCGTCAGGGATACTAGAACCCAACAAGGCAACAACATTAATTTCTCATGGAATCGAAATTATATGGGAGGCCAAAAATCATGAGGTATAACTCCCTCTTTTAGCAAAGATTCCTACAAAATATAAAAATGCTATAAGTTTGTTCCATAACTCCTGAACTAGGAAGCTATAACAACAAAATGACTAGGCATGCATACGTAATAGTTCTAGCATTGGGGCATATATCCTATGGTATTTGACAATGGTGGTTAGCTGATTACAACGGTGAAAACGTCATTTATCACAATACAACCACCATCAGGTTACAAACTTAGCATTTCCAGGAAATAACAACAAATAAGGTGGTTAAACTGCACTATTTTCAGCAGACTAGGAGCCGCATACTGTTTGAGAAACATGTGGTGACAGTTAAACTTTAAAGTAATCATTGCTGAACAACTTACAGCCAGAGTCTGAAAGGTATCATTAAGTTCCATTTATAACCAACCGTATCTTGCGAGAACAAGAGCCACAGCCCAGAACAACAGAAGCTGATGCAGAATCAGACGCCTGCAGTTCTACTTCTCCATCCCCACTGACGAAAATTCCCATCTCACTAAGTTCACATGAAGTGATGAAAAAATAATCACCACACCTGCACGGGTACAACAGCTCTACAGTATCAGCAGTGCTCTCAATGATCATATCCCCGACTTCGATTTCAGACGCAATGATCTCAATGTTCTGTCTGGATGATTGCAGCTTCTTATCATAGTCTGCTCTAGATGCAGGATGGCGCAGAATTTCCCATGCTTTCTGCTCACTGGAAGGTACAGATGACTCAAGAGTTGCCTGTGCTTTATCAGGATGTGTGTTCAGAGCAGCAGACCTGTATGCTGCACGAATTTCATCATATGTAGCATCTTCACTCACAGATAAAACCTCATACAAGGTTTTCTGAACGGAAATATTGCTGCCTAGAACCATAGTGGAAGCTGGACCACTGCATTCAGGGGTAAAAACAGTATGTATAAAATATACTCAACACATCTTGAGATTCTTGGATGTAATATATGCCTAAACAGTTCTTTGTGGCGATACCATTGCGAGTCAACATAAGCAACGCGTGTTATCTTATTTTATTGCAGATTTTTAAATCCAAGGAAAACTCTTTTTATCAGGTTTGAACCAACAAATGCACCATCTATTTATGTTTGGGCCATCTCTGCTGAGATCAGTGTTACAAAGAGGCGTTTAGTCCAGGAACAGTAAACAAACTAAATCACCAACACACCTCAAATCTATTAGATACATAGAGAACAGCCAGAATCACCATAATTCCCAAAACCACTTGATATGCAGCCAGCTACCAGAAACACAAGCTTCCATACAAGGGCTCTTTAAAAAAAAATCAAATACAATAAACAAGAATAATCGAGAGCAAAGGAAAAGGAACAAAGACATCAACAATCTATGAGCTCAGATCACCAATCTCTTCTACATATACAGCAAGAGTGGTGTACAGAAAATGCAACATGAGGTGAATATGCTGAAATATATGGCATACTAACTCCAATAAACAGAGAAGGCAGAACTAACATGCATATTGCATATATAAACCTACATAAGAAACAACCTTTGTGTTGATTCTAAATTAGAGTTCAGCACACATAGGAAAACAACAATAATGCAACGGAGAATGTTGCGACCATGGCAACACTAGTGCTTGAAATGCTCAGGCTAGTATGATAAGAAGCAAATGATTTTTGCATCACTTAGCAAAGAGTGGAAAATAGTTAATATTACTTGTCTAGATCAAACTATATATTTTTATATATGCCAATCTACAGACACTGCCTTGCAACCTGATGACCAAACATCTACTCCAAGATAGCAAAAGAATCCAGAAACTGCAGATTCTTGTGGACTGCAGTGGAGATGACAATGAAGAAAAGAATCCAGAAACTGCATTTTCAAACAAGAAATCAGCACTTTTAAAGATTATCGAGGAAACTCCTGTTCGCAAAACAATTATTTTCTGCAACAAGGTAGTCCCTTCCCTAATATCCCTATGCACTGATCACAGGCAGACATACAGATCACAGTATATTTGATAATTATATCATGATTGTGCTTTCTGTTGCTAGATTGAGACATGTAGAAAGGTTGAGAATGCGCTGAGGCGGGTTGACAGGAAAGCTTCGCAGATCAAAGTTCTCCCCTTCCATGCTGCGTTGGATCAGGCCCAGCGCATCGCAAACATCAAGGAGTGCCTGAACAAGCAAACGGCTGACTCCATGTTCCTCGTGTGCACAGATAGGTCAGTGTCGGCTAAACCGCATTTTCCACCATAGCTTCTCCTTTCCTGCTACCGTTTTTCAGTGCTGATGCTACCATTTGACGGTTCGGCAGGGCATCGCGGGGCATCGACTTTGCAAACGTGAACCAAGCGAGTACGTGCGGCGCGTTGGGCGGACGGTTCGCGGTGCGTCTGGCAACGGCAAGGCATTCGTGTTTGCGGTGGGCAAGCAGGTGTCCCTGGCCAGGAGGGTGATGGAGAGGAACATGAAGGGGCACCCGCTGCACGACGTGCCGTGCGTCTAGGACTCTAGAGCCTGGAGGCTGGAGAGGTGCCTGAACAGAAATCACTTCCTGAATCGTCCTTGCACCTGAAGATGTTGTGCTTGTGCCCCTAGCCTAGAAACTGGAGTACAATGTTTGTGTGGTGTAGCATATTTTAGCACTTTGAACAGACGTCTAGATCAATTCATGTAGAACAAGTTTTGATGCATGCAATTGCTGCCTAAACAAGAACATTCGAACAGAATTCAGATGTGCTGTTGGTAACTCATTGTTTGCCTGATTCATACATGCATACACCCAGGGGCGAAGCTAGGACTAAATTTATGGTGGTGCACAACGTTAACAGCAATGTAGAAATATGTCTTCTTACAACTGATTTTATGGTCAAAATATACTTAGTATTAAATATTTTTTCTTGCCTGGTGCCGGTGCACCACCCAAAATCAACGTGGCTTACACCATTATCATTCTAGACACAAACATCTAACACTGATTTGCAGGTAAGTTGTTCAGAGACGTGGTAGAGCGGAGGCAGTAAGTTGCTGCTACTGGGAGTGGAGTGGCATGAATCGAAACCTACACACAGCTCAGGCGGAAGCGATGGAGACCTCTGGAACGAGGGCGATCGGCTAGTCGCGGACGGTGTGGAGGAGGTGCAGCTGGGCGTTGTGGAGGAGGGCGCGGGCCTGCTCGCTGGCGGCGTCGCTGGCGCGCAGCTCCCGGATCTCCTCCTCCCACCGCTCCACCTTCTCCTTGTGGATCCTGCACGCACGGCACGAGGTCAGCGAGCGAATCGGCGGAGCAGCTAGCGGGGAAGAGAATGGCGGCCAGTGAGGTTTCCTAGTTACGACTTACGAGCAGAGTCGGTCCTCGAAGTCGGCGGCGAGGTCCTTGAACAGCGCGCGCCCGGCATCCAGCATGTCAGACACCTGCACGCATGAACGCACGCGTGAGCGCCACTGCGTTCTCCACGCCGTTCATGTCGATCGCTTCATCGCCTCGGCGTTGCAAGAGGTTGCCGGGTGCGCACCTGGCGGGTGTAGTTGTCGATGGCGAGGAGGATGCGCTGGATGTGCTCCTCCGTCTCCGCCGACACCACCTGCTCCTGCTCCTGCTCCTGCTCCTCCGTCTCCGCCGCACCACCACGGCCATCTCGTCCCCCTCCGTTTCCGCGGCGGCCGCGGTCACGGCACCGGCGGACGCCGCCGCGCCACCTCCTGCGCTCCCCTGGCTTGTCGTGTCATCCTCGTTGCTCTGCATGGCACACCAAATCGCACACGGATTACGAATTACGATGAATCAAGCTGGTTTGCGAATTCGAAATTAAGGCCGGATAAAAACCCCACGACAGAATTAAAAAACCCATGCTGAGTATTTCGAATCGGAAGTCCAAATCCCCCAGATTGCTCGTGGCTCCAAATCGGAGTAGCAACAGGGTTTCGAATTCAACGACTCGAAGGTGATCGCGCATCCACGAACTGTTAGATCAGATTCCGAATAATTAAAAAAACACGAACGAAACCCCTAGTACCGACCAACCCAGCAAGCGATCAACGAACTCCCGACCCCAAATTGCGAGGCGTGCACGGAAGCGAAGCAACCGACGAACTCCAACGTTTCCGAACTAGACGCGAGCTCCCAAAAAAATCAGAATACGCGCGGCGAAGCACCACCTCCAAACTCAGAAAGCAAAACAACAGCAGCAACCAAAAGTAACCGCGGATCGGAGAAACCCCAGCGGGCAGCAGACAATTCGCAGCGGATCGCGACGAGACCAAGCAATAGGCACGGAGGAGGGAGGGGGAGATTCGCGGAGGCGGTAGCCTACCATGGCGGCGCGCGCGCGCTTGGCCTTGGAGCTCTCCCTCCCCGCCTCCATCTGGGCACCTCGCTCGCTGGATTTATTTTTTATATATTTTTTAAAACTATTTTTTAAATCTGGTGCTGTTTACTTTTTTTATAAAAAAAAACTAACATTTTTGACGCGCTTGTTTGCACGGCGCGGCTAATTCACTCTGCCGCATCATGCATGGCGACGAGTCTGGGGCAGTCAACGGCTGCGGCGACCGCTGACGTGGCAGGTCTGACGCGCCACCCCGTCACGGCGCGGCGGGCCTGCCACGTCGGCAGACCCTTGTACAGGCAGCCGCGGTTCCCTTTTTGTCTGTCTCTCTCTCTCAGTGTCTCCCGCCCGCTGCGCCGCCACCACGCCACGCCCGCGCCGCCATGGCCACCCGGCCGCCGCACTCCGCCATCTCCCCACCGCCGCGCCGCCTGGCCCTCGCTGTCGCCCTCCATCTCCAGACTGTCTCAAACCGTGAACGACATTGCTGCACTGCCCATCGTCGTCCTCCAAAAGGGGGGATTGCCGCCAGTCAGCCGGCCATTGCCGCCGCCCTCCAGAAGTAGGCCGCTGTCGACTGGCCATTGCCGTCGGCGGCCATCTCCATTTGAAATTTGAACCAGGATGAGGGATCATCATCCGTAGTACCCCATTCTTGAGGTGCACTACGATAAGGACCACCGAGCCAAGCACATGTCGAAGCTTCAGGAGGACTTGCTACCTCTTAGACTACGCACGCACCAGCCGCACCGTAGGGACGAGCGATACCGGCCGTACATACAGGCATACAGCGTGCCGACTTCCTTGAGATCGTTCGGGTCTTCAACAGTGGGCTACCGATCCTCGACCCTGCATTTCTCGTTGCTGTTGTTGATAGGTATGATTTGATACACGTTTGGTGAAGTACAAAGCATTGATTTATCTCATTGTTTCATTTAAAAACTTCTTGTATTGAATTAAAAACACACAGGTGTAGGCCAGAGACCCACACCTTCCACCTTCCTTACTCCGAGATGACTATCACGATGTAGGACGTGTAGATGATTCTGTGTCTATGGTTGGGGTCTTCCAGTGACTGGGATCCTTAATAACGATCACTGGATGGATTTGGTGGAGCAGTTCTATGGCAGAAGACCACCTGAGAACGAGGATGCTAAGAGAGTAAAGTAAGAATTTCTACGTTCCAAACATTTACTATTTTGACACCAGCACATGCAAGGCTTTGTTTGGTCTCTTATATCACAAATATATGTTATGGTCTAAGTCTATCGTTGATCTACATATTCTGTAAATTATTTTACTATTTAAATGGAGGGTGTAGTACATAACTTTTGTGATGCGTATTGTCTTTGTCTAATTTAATGTTTATTTTTGTTTCCTCAGCTCTCATGTAATTGTCCTTCAAAAATTTCAAAAAAACATGCGGTGTCAGTTCGGTCTGAATAACAGAAAACTTTAGGGCGTCACTGCACCCAAGCGCTCTAGAGCATGAGATCGATAGGTATGCTAAGGTGTGGCTGTGGCACTTCTTAGACACCTTCATGTTTCCCGATATGTCGGGTAACACTATCAGCTGGGCCTTCCTCAGCATACTGAGCCAGCCATGGGAGAACATAGGAGCGTACAGCTGGGGCAGCGCGGTTCTAGTATGGATCTATCGTCAGCTCTGCGTTGTCTGCCGACGTAGTACAGGTGGTGCCAACTTTGGAGGTTGCTCCCACCTACTACATGTTTGGTGTTGGGAGCGATGGCCAGTCGGGAGGCTCGTTGTTCATGGTTTACCTGTAAGCGCATCGATTTTTTATTTTTTCTCAAACTTGATGCCGCACTTGTGACTGACTATCCTATTCAATGCAGGCATGGAATCACGTGGACGTAGGACCGACTGCTCTGTACGTCTGGCAAGAAGCGGAGGTAGTTAGAGGGAACCCGAAGCAGCGGTACAGACAGTACTCGGACACGCTAGACGTCCTGATACAGCACTAGGTAACGACCACTTTGATGCTACTAGTCGGTATTGTTGCTTTTTTATTATTCCCAAAACCTAACTGTAGTTACCTAACTTTCAGGTGAATTGGTGTCATTGGTCCAGATTCGAGCTAGAGGGGTACCTGAATCCTCGCACTGAGAAAGTGTCGGACGAGTAGCTTTTTAATGGGCCACTAATTTTCTTCCACGTGGTCGAGATGCACTACCCTATAAAGGGTGTATAGGCAGTTTGGAAGATTGCAGCCATACCCACCACCGCTATACACAACCAACAGAAAGTTGCACGGGTGCGATGACTATAACATAATAATTTAGCAGTCATGTGCATACATACAACCACTAACTTACGTTAAACTTGTAGGTACGATCGAAGGAACAGGTACAAGGAGAAGAATTTGGCCGTGATGCACGCGGGGTACATCCACGAATGGGAGAATAGGCAAAGGGTCCTGATCGCCAAGAATCCGCCGCATGACCAACGCAACTTCGACCGCTACCTTTAATGGTTATATAGGAGTACCCGCACACATATGCAGGCCCCTACACTAACAAGCCAATTGATGAGGACGAAGACGAGGATGACATCGCTGATGCATACGACGAGACGACAAGGATGGAGACACAGCTTCAGAGAGCCCCGCTACAGAGATACGTGGTAAGAAAATTGAATTTCAATACAACTGCACGTCGGCGTTCCTATAAATTATAGTGATACGAACTTACCTCAATTGTGTATGTAGGCAACACAGTTGACAAGTCTGTTCAACGAAGCAGCCGTGTGACTTCATGAGATCAAAGGGGAGCCGCACGGCATTCTATACGTCTTTGTCGATGTACATTCTATTCTCAAAGCCATGGCAGTGGTTAAATGGTTCCCATGACTCATTCATCTGTATTTTCTTTTTTTGCAGAAAGTGAAGAGGAGCTGCAAGAAGCTGACACAGAAGCTCAGCTGGGTGGATACTCCATGAGAGATGCCCTATGACCCAGACTTGTCTAGTTCCTTACGCTCGAGCACTATGCCGACACGAGCAGGTTCCTCCAACACGATGGTTGCTGGGACCTCTTATGTTCGTACTCCCGACAATGCAGGCAAGGGTCCTACGGAGCACAACGTTGAGGAGGACGAGGACGAGGACTACGATGAGATTGGGATGTCTCAGCTTGGTGATGCACCATTTCCTACATAGTTCGATGAAAAGATACTTGAAACAACCCTTCGCCATATACATCACAATTACTTAAACATTGTAAGTAATGATGTCTATATTTTAATTGTAGGGTCCTAGTTACACTCATAGTAGTATGCCGGGTACCGCCAATGAGACCGCATCGAAGCGGTGGGTTCATTCCCTAACGTCTTCGCCTTCACGTCCAGAAAGAGGCAATGACGTCTCTGGTACCCATATACTCCTGGGTCGTAGGAGTTCTTTAGGATAACATGATGTACTTGTACTCGGACGCCCATATACTGATGGAACATGTAGTATGTCGAGTAATGTCGAACTTATGTATTGATGAACTTGTGTCGTAGTTATGACTTACTGAACTTATGTTGAACAGAAGTATTGTCGAACTTGCGATGAACTTGGGACGTGTACAAGTTAGTATTGCTGAACTTGTGTATTGATTGTCTCGTGCACTTAACCTTGCTGCTGATCTATTCGTTAAACCGACACGACGAAATAACTTGGCTCATGTGAGAACATAATAGAAGTGTCTTGTTTCATTTGCTACCGCTTTGACCGTCGCATCATGGCTGGAGGCGTGCCAGCCTTGTCGCGCCATGGCAGCTGGCGGCGCGCTGCTGCGCCAGATCTGCGGCGGCGGGCGCCCCGCCACGTCGCGCGTTCGGCCGGACTGGTCACGCCACGTCGCCCTTCTCTATTGCCGCCGCCACGCATGGCGCGGCAGAGTGATTTCGCCGCGTCATGCGAACAGGCGTGTCCAAAAATGTTAGTTTTGAGAAAAAAAAACAACGTCAAATTTAAAAATAGTTAAAAAAAAAAGTGTTAAAAAAATCCTCGCTGGCCGGTCGGGACGGGAGCAGCAGCGTAGTGGAAGAGAGAGGTGGTGGATCGGATTTGCCAAGGATGGGCTCGCGGCCCGGTGGGTGTGTGTGTTCCTTTATATAGCCACAAGCCAACCTGCTGCGAAATGGATTATTAGGTTGGGCTGGACGGGCTACTTGGTTACGGGCCTTATACGAGCTAGGGACATGGGCCGTAGTGGACCAGCATCGTTCACTAGCACTCCCATTTCCCCGTTTCCTGGATGCCTCAGCTCGACAGCTCGTGTATTCCTAGGTAACATTTTGGTTTGGGTACGGAACAGGTTTATTAACACTCCCATTTCTGTTTCAGCTCTCTTATGCATTGTTTGATACGCATGTATTCGTCTAAATCCACATGTGTTGAAGTAGATTAGAGTAAAATTAAACTAAATTACATTTCATTCCACTCCAATATATATGGATTGAAGTGGATACACATGTATCAAACAAGACCTTAAGTGGTATTCCTAGGTAGCGTTTGGTTTGAGAACATAATGGAGATAAAGTGGAATATTCCAGTTCATTTAGTGTTTGGCTTTGAAACGATGAGGAGGAAGTCATCCTCCAGAATAATATTCTCAAGATCTAGAACTTCCCTATCAAAAAAATGCTAGATCACCACATTCCTTTATTTCGGCATCACACTTCATTTCCTCCACTCCATCTCCTCCTGTCCTCCACATGGGCTCCCATGACGCCCGAGCATGGGCAAGCTATCATTGACCCGACGTCGTTCGGCCACCTTCGCCGACATCCGCACCTCACCCGCACTTTTTCTCTTTTTCTCCTCGTGCCCTAGAGTCCACAACTTTATTTATTTTATCGTGCACACCACCATATACGCATAGTGCATCCTTGCGAACCTATAGAATTACCCAAAAAGGTGCTTTCTTTGAGTGAAAAATGCTTTTGAAAAATAAAACCAACGCTAGAAGGGTGGATAATGGAAATTGTGGAGGAAAACTAGAAACGATGCATAATAAAAGGGTCATTTTTAACTATGTACACTACTGTATACACAGTACATCCTCGCAGGCATCTAAAAATTCCCAAAAGACACTTTTGTTGAGCGAAATAACTTTTTTTCTGAAGAGTAAAGCAAACACTAGAAAGATGAATAATGGAAATGGTCAAGAAAAATTGGAAAATGCATATATGGATCCACTTTCTCAAAAAAGAACACAAGAAAAAAAAACATGTGAACCAAAATGAAATGATTCGAAACATAAGGAAAAAAAATGTGTGAACCAAAATGAGTTTAAACAATTAAAGGGAGTCACTTTCTCCAAAAAGATGAATCGATTTGAAACAAATAAAGGGAGTCAAACATAAAAATATAATCGATTTGAAACAAATAAAGGGAGTCAAACATAAAAATATGCGCTAGAAGGAGGGCTTGAACCTCCGACCTTGTGGTTAACAGCCACACGCTCTAACCAACTGAGCTATTCCAGCTTGTTGATGAACATTTAATGATAATATTTAAATATAGTTGGACCACGTGGGTACGTCAGTGCACCTCAGGTCCGACCGCTGCTAGGGCATGTGTATGGCCGTTTGGTATACCTGGGAGAACTACTCGAGAAGCTATTGGTTAAAATAAGTTGGTTCAACTTAGATTCTGTGCATGGGCGGATCCATGTAAAAAATTGTGGATGCGCCCGTACCCATGCACAAGCTAAACAAAACAGTTATAATGTTTATTTTTTTACTATATTCGCACCTTCGTGATAAAAGCTTACATACCCACAAGACAAGCGCACCTCATCAAATTAGCTCTGGCTCCGACCCTGGTTCTGTGTTTTAGTATAGTATACGTATAAATAAATGGAAGCGATGGAGAAAAGTGTAGCCATAAAAAAAACCATAAACATGAGTACATGACATATCTCTATAGGAGATCATAGAAGTTATACCAGACAACGCATAGCTCTATAGGAGATCTATTTTGACAATCCTGTATATGTGTGATTGGTTGTCTGTGGTAGCTCCAATGCAATATAATCTATGCCAGCATAAATGCAATGTGTTGAAATGTTTGGTTATCACACACGTGCAAATGCAAAGTAAGATTGTTTTAGTTGGTTACACAGTGTTGCATTCATTCACCTCCCTGTTCTAGTAGGTGGGATGAAAATATATTTTCTGGATAGCATCAGGTTATGTAAACATGCATTGCCTAATACGAGTAAAATTGATGTACTTGTTAATGCAACATAAGCTTTGAGTACTGTGCAAGTCTGCAAAAGAGCCTCTTCATGCAACAAAACATGGAAAAACTACGTTGCACATATCTAGATATAGATAATGCAAGCAACCAAACACATCATATAAAGTACAACTTATATAGAAGGTTGATCTAATTATTTTATAGCATTTATAATCGATTATCATATAAGGGCATGTTTGATCCTTGGAATTGAATTCATTCTAATAGTTACAATTTAGACATAGATTAATTAAGCTAATATAGTTGTATATGAAATATATTTGTATATTATTGTTAGCCATACAAGGAACATATTTATATGTTACATTTTTTTGTAGGGAACTATAATTTGGGGAGTAGAAATATAGCATAGTGGTCTATATAATCCATTTCCATCTCACACCCTATGAATTTGAGATAGGCTTATTGTGGGCTTTGGAAAGTGGTGGAATGTCAAATTCCATGCCTAATAACCTAATTCATTAAGTGGATTTCAATTCCTTCAAAATAAAAGGATCCAAACGGCTCCTAAGAGATATGAATCTTTTTTCATATAATATACCAAAAATATGGCTTCAGACCTCCTCAAAGAAGAAACATGAATCTAGCATTGATTTTTCTTCAAAACCATAAAGCGTCCTATTACCTCCACTTATTTTCTAATCGAGTTCAAAGTTAACAGGCTATGCAAAATCTTATAAAGTATTTCACAATTTTTCAACATATACGACCATATAAAACAGACCTCGAAGCTAGGAGCTATAACCAAATTACTCCAAAGTCTATATGCTGAGAAGAGTGATCCGGTAGAGAATCTGATGGATGATCCCATGAAGTATATGGTCTTCCACTGCGTTATTTTAGAGTGATTTTTTAATACTTTTATAGAGCACTTCATAATAAGTTTTTCATAAAGTACAAGATCATGAAAACAAAGACTTTGAAGGTTGTCCACTTCATATGATTCATCCGAGGAGCACGTGCAGTGCAGGACATGTTTGTTCTCACCGCTAACGTCACCCCTTGTGTACAGAAAAAAATGAAACATAAAAGATCCACCATTGTGTTTCTTTTATTATTTTTCCTTAAAAAACGAGTATGTTTGGATTATAATTTTCAAGAACATTTTCTAATGAAGCTGGAACATTTTTATCTGTTATTGAGCAGGACAATACTCGATGTCCACGAGAATAACTCCTCTATATTTGGGACAAAATATGATCCATTTCCAAGAAAAAAATGTTTCAAAAACAATGTTTTTATATTGAAAAGGATGTTCAAAATTCACCACTGCAAAAATGGTTTAAAGTTCACACTAGAAAAAATATTCCACCTTAGGCCAGTCTTAGTGGAATTTTCATCCGTATTTACTAAGCTGTCACATAGATAATTTTGAGTAACATGACAACATTTTTAAAATAAAGAGAATAAGTGAGTTGACATTATTACTATAATTCTATAAGAGTCACAAAATTAAATAGCAATGAAACAATAGAATTGAACTATTTATCGGGCATGTATGTTTCATACTTATTTCATTTCACTTATGTGATGTGGTAGTTTTAGAAACAATGTGTCGGGTATCGTTATTAGGGATACTCAAAGCAAGAAAGTTAGCGCCCACACTGACTTCCCGGATGGCTCGAAACATATTAAAAGGTCTCGTCCGACCCTAAGGCCACGGGCTTCGCCTCGTCCGACCCCTTGGGTGCGCAGGCTCCGTCTTGTCCGACCCCAAGGTCGCGGGCTCCGTCTCGTCTCGACCTTAAGGCCACGGGTCCGCCTTGCCCAATCCCTTGGGTGCGGGCTCCGTCTCGCCTGACCCCAAGGACGTGGGTTCCGTCTCACCCAAGGTCGCAGGCTCCGTCTCGTCCGACCTCGAGGACGCGGGTTCTGTCTCGTCCGACGGGGACTCATACCGCTGCCAACCACTCTAGGTCCAAGCGTATGGGCCTGTATTAAAACTTTGACGCTAGGGAAGAGGCTGGCACGCCTTGATGTAACCCTAGCCATGACGGACCATACCTGGCGATTCACATCAAGAACAGTGTCGGGCATGCCGGTACTGTTCTGCCTAATCCTCGTACGGATGCTGACAAGTGCGTCAGTTCACCACGATGTTCGCCGAGACGGAGTGGAACGCTATGACCGGCAGGTGATGCCTGCGCATGGCGCCAGTGATGAACAGGGCCGCGGCATGGAGCCGTCTCTATTGACGTCTACAGGATCGGTGGGACCCGCATGAAGGAGAAGAAGGACCCGACAACCGTGGAAGCCTTCTTCTCTCTCGTTCTTCTCATTTTTCTTCTTTGTAACCCGCGCTTTCCCTTTGTCTATAAAAGGGAAGGAGGCGCCCAACAAGGGGATCGACAATCGACACGAGACAACTAAACACAAGAGCACGATATGAACACACGGTTGAGCGGCAAGCGAGCTCTCAGCACCCGATTCACTCATTCCATCAGAGACTTAGGATCCTTTCCCTCTCTCGACTGTTTGTAACCCTTACTGCAAACCAAGTGCCGGTAACACGAGCAGTAGTGAACTGGATGTATGGACGTTCTGCCAAACCAGTATAAACCCTTATATTCTCCGAGCACACCATCCGAGCCAGACGCGTAAATACAAATTTACTCATCGGTGGTCCAAAAACACCGACAGTTGGCGCGCCAGGTAGGGACTTTCTGCGCGCCTCGAAGTCCACATCAGGCCTCAGATGGTTAGTCACGGCGTCAGTTGGGTCCCGGACGCGCACGTGCGCTTCGGGAACCTGAACTTCATCGTTACGACGGAGGGAGAGTTGGCGCAGGTTCCCGCCGCCGCCCAGCCTCTCCACTTCGCTGGCCTCGACGCGATCGCCGAGGCGCTTGAGGAGCTGCAGCTGCACGCACCGGAGGCCCGCGCCCCTGGGAGCGACCATCTTCTCGGTTTCGATTACGGGAGGCTAGAGCGCCAACTTGGCGCCTTTCTGGACCCCGATCGTCCTTGAAGGACCTACGCTGCCTCACCTTCTCGCTTCGTCAACAAACTAATTTAAATCAGCAGTCGCGAAAAAAAAACTAATTTAAAATCAGCATTTCGCCGTTGGCACTGTTGTTCCTAAAAAAGAAGCAGTAATAAAAAAGAAAGAAAGAAAAAGAAACAAATCTGCAAAAGAATTTTTGCGTGAAAAAGGGGAACGGCCCAACGGCCCAGGAGAAGCACCGTGCGGTTGCGCCCAGCGTCCCCCAGCTCCGGACTGGTGGTATACCGCCGCCGCCGTTCACGCCGCGAACTCTCTCTTTGTCGCTCACTCTCTCGCGGCGACGACTAGGCTACCGCCGCCTCCGCCCTCCGCCTGGTGCCCTTCGTTGGCGACGAGCGCACACCAGGTTTGTCCGCCCCTTTTCCTCCCTTCCTGCCGTGGGAAACCGAGCAAGACAACCCTAGCTTCTATCTAGCTACTTGTATTCGGATCTAATCGAGTTGTCAGGGTACAGCGCGTATTGCTTGCGATTCCTGTAAACCCGGAGCTAGCTGCATACAGCACGAGATAGAAGATGGGTATCCTCGAGAGAATCAAGGAGATTGAGGCCGAGATGGCTCGGACTCAGAAAAATAAAGCAACAGGTTTTGCTGTCTTCACTGCCTGTGTCTTTCAGCTATGCAATTCATGTTCATCGTCTCATCTCTCCTTTTGGATGAAACTGTGCTGTGCTGTTTCCAGAGGAGCACATATCTAATCATGAATTGCCTTTCAGCAGGTTTTGTATCTAGAATATCTGATCGTATTCCTGTTCAGTGCTATAGATATTTATGATGATGACCACAAACTGTATCATTTGACCATCTGCTAGTAGATTTTTAATGTAGACATAATTTGGACTAGTGAATTAAACAACAATATATAAATATTTTACTCAAACCAGTTAAGTATTGATGAACAATCAGTCAGATACTATCCTCTATATGCAAACAGGTGCGGATTCTCTGCCCTGACAAGGCCATGGATCTTAATAAAACAATTTCTTTTATTTTGAAAAAGGAAACTCATCATAAATGCCTGTACTTATCTATGAGTACCTTTTGGTTGCTGCATTTTCCCCAAATTTTGCAGCATGTTGTATCTGATAATATTTTTCCATTGTCTGTCATTCAGAATATCATCTTGGACAACTGAAGGCAAAGCTAGCAAAGTTAAGGACACAACTATTAGAGCCTCCAAAGGTATCAACGGGGTTGTGAAATCACTTCAGAAATTCAGAACCTTGAAATTCGCTTACATACTTTTCTGTGGTAATTTGGGTGGCAAATTAGACCATGAAGTGAAGCTAGTATTTGTTGTTTCTTCATTCCTTCAAAGTTTTTTAAAGTAGCAGCATAGTCTAAAAAGGCTAAGTAGCAGCTTTAACGTACGTGGGACTTGCATTTGCTTCATCTCACCTGTTGGTCATACAGGGTTCCAGCGGAGGCGGAGATGGTTTTGAAGTCACAAAGTTTGGGCATGGTCGTGTTGCACTTATTGGATTTCCCAGGTCTCCTCCCACTTGAGCCTACTACTTGACTACCAGAAAGTCAAGTGTTTCAAATCTTTCAGTTTCAGTTTGTACGAGTGGATTTGTAATTCTTGGAGTCCGTTATAATCAAGTAAACAACCCTATATGTTCAACACATGTCATCTGTTGCCTTTTATTTTTGACTCATGTATGTCTGGCAAACTAACTCTCATAGCTACTGCCTTGTATATATCAAAATGGGATGTATGGATATTTGATTACTAAGCAAGGCATAAAATGCTCAGTGTTGTCAACCAATAAGATTATAACTGCTACCTCAGATCTGAAATATAAGTCTATTTAGGATATGGTGGTCAAATCTTTTAACTTTGATTAACAATATCTTCAAAATCATATAAATTTACAGCATAAGATTGACATACTAGATTTATTGTAAAAAATACTTTTATACTAGAAAATTATTCTATTTTAAATGGTATATTGTCATAGTATTTATATTCCTAGTCCAGGGGTCATATTGGAGGCTGCGGTGATGTTCCAAGGGACTTGTACTTGGATTTACAGCATAAGATTAACGTAACTAGATTCATTGTAAAAAAAAACTTTTATACTATATAACTCTTCTATTTAAAATAGTATATTGTCATAGAGATTGATAGTCCTAGTTGAGGGTCATATTGGAGCTACGGTGATGTCCTAATGGACTTGTCTTTGGGGTCAGAGGGAGTACAATATGTCTCATACTCGTGTGTTGTGACTTATGAGAATATATCTTGCAGTGTTGGAAAGTCAACTCTTTTAACGATGTTGACTGGGACACATTCTGAAGCTGCATCATATGAGTTCACAACACTTACTTGCATTCCTGGAATTATTCATTACAATGATACCAAAATCCAGCTTCTCGATCTTCCTGGTATCATTGAAGGAGCCTCTGAAGGCAAGGGGCGCGGTAGGCAGGTAAATGCTGCTAATGCTTAACTGTTTTTGTATATGCTGATTTCTTTTATCCGCATAAAATTAGTGAATTGTTTTTTTACTAATATGCCGGGGCTGTTTTCAGGTTATTGCTGTTGCAAAGTCATCAGATCTTGTGCTGATGGTTCTGGATGCCTCAAAGGTTAGTATTTGATTGAAGAATCTTTGCTTCACTTCTGCTGTTATCTTTATTCTATCCTTAGGACAGCTAAGTTTTCGAAGCATATCAAGATTTTATGTTAGGTGAGAGGGGAGGGTCAGATGTCAAGTTTATGGGCACTCTGTGCCTCTCATAGACAGAATATTTCAGTCCTCATAATTTAATCTAATTCCTGACAAGAGCTAAAATACCACGTTTTCCTTACCAAAATAATTTTACTATTGAAGTTCTTAGATAACTACTTCCACAATCAAGTTTATTGACTAGCTTCCTTTGCAAATATGCATCACATCACAAAATTATCATATCAGAGTTGTATGTAACAACATGGGCAGTTACAAAAAATGGATTAAATGGAAGAAGCGATAAGAAAATTCACTAAAAGGATAGGCAATTAGGAGAACGAATGCAACAAAGATAGAAGAGCTAGGAAAATCCGTGGTGGTTTGGTACTGTGCTACTTGGTTGGACAAGGGTATGGTGGCAAGAAATGGCACAGAAAAATAAAGTTGCAGCTTATGGATGAAAGAGCATAAAAATAGCATATCGGGTGTAATGCTAAGTCTTGGTTCTGGCACATGTGGAAAAATAAAGTTGCAAAAATAAAGTTGCAGCTTATGGATGGAAAAGCAAAAATATAGCACATTTCAAATTGCATGTTAATTGCTTCATTTGTTCTACAATTTCAGCTTTTTAGCTGTAACTAAAAGCTTGTAGTGTTACTGAGTAAGCCATTGAGCCTCAAATCTACATCACTGAAGGTATTACTTATATATGCTGAACTGTGTCATTTCATAAGCTATATGATTACTTGAAAGTCTGTTCTTACTTAAATATTTTTGTGGAACCTTTTAAAAGTAATATAGTTGCTTGAAAGTTCTCAGGTGTGATGTGAATTGTTAGAGTATGGCAGGGGCCTATTGGGCCTGGGCTGGAGTGACACGTATAGCGGGCGCAGGAGGAAGCATCTAGATCAAGGGTAGATGGCCATATTTATAGGCTTGAGGATTAAGCAAGAATATTATCCTACTCATCTCTCCTAAGCTTACGGTAGAGGGGGTGTATGATGTGATGGATCAGGCAAGAATTGTCTTAGTGTGTAAGAAGATTAGGTACGGACGAACTCCGCTCCCCCGATTCGATCCTTCATGTTTTAAGAAGAAGCCTTATCTCATTTCCGTTTGTTTATTACATGACTGTTCTAAATTTCATTTCAGAGTGAAGGACATCGCCAAATATTAACTAGAGAATTGGAAGCTGTTGGACTCCGTCTTAACCAAAGGCCTCCCCAGGTATATATGCATGCATAGTTGAAAGTGTGACAAATATAAACAAATGCAGATACTGACACAAGTATACATATGGAACACTTTAATTGTTAGACCTTTGGGTGCTCAGATAAGTCATTCTTTAAATGTGGTTCGAAGAATGGAACATTCTGAACATGTTGGGCACGATTCTAGTCCATAGATCATGTACCTATGTCAGGCCCACAGTGAAAGGCAGTGTCTGAATCATGACTCATGAGCCTGAAGTCGCCAACCAATGAATGCCACTTCCCATGGCATCTCTAGTGCATGGTGCCCCCATAATCTGTATTGGATGACCTATATTGCATGAATTTCTAAACCTATCATTCCATGGAGATCTGACGGTCTGACTAGATGCATAATTCATCCAGACCATAACTGCAACTAATTGTATTCTCTTATGCTAGTATTGTATTCTTAATTATCATAAAGCAGCCAAAAGTTTATTCAGCTAATGGATCTCACCGACCTACACTCCTACTCCATAGTCCTTACTTAGCAGGAATACATTAATTTCGCATGTAGTAACACCAAGAGGTGAAATGCAGGTATAGCCGTGTAGGTAGGCTTGGATCCCGTGATGTAATCGTTGCAAGTGCACTATGTCAATGGCATAAAATGAGTCTTGTATCTACACAAAACACTATTTCAAATTTGTTGGCTGCTGAAGTTGTCATATCTATGACTCAAGATGCAACATTTGGGTACTATATGATGTGTATGTTGGGTGTGGATACCATGGGATGGAGGGTGCAAGGTAAGGTTCGACTTACCATGGGCAGTTTAGCAAGCTCCAAATCACTTTTTTACTTCTCACTGAACATTCTTACCCTATACTACATGAATTTTGAATTGTTGTCTTATTGACAAGTGCTGACCCAATAATTATGTAACTTGACCAACAAACTCTATGACCATGGCTCTTGGAGGAGGCCTAAATATGTAGTTTTGTGTCACCAACTATGCTCTGCTGCTTCTGACTTGTGGGGTGTGCACTTATACCTTCTATGTTCTCTCTTGGCACCCTTTTGTACAAATAGATATACTTCAAAAGGAAGAAGACTGGCGGCATTTCTTTCAATACTACAGTGCCTTTGACTCATATTGATGAGAAGCTCTGCTATCAGATTCTGCACGAGTACAAAATTCACAATGCTGAGGTGCGTGGACATGCTTTTGGGTATGCATGTGCATGTCTTTGCTGTCAACTCAACTATTTTGTTTATTTTAGGTGTTATTCCGTGAAGATGCTACTGTGGATGATCTCATTGACGTTATTGAAGGAAATCGAAAGTACATAAAATGTGTTTACGTATATAACAAGATTGATGTTGTTGGTATTGATGATGTGGATAAGCTTGCTCGGCAACCAAATTCACTAGTGATCAGCTGCAATTTGAAGGCATGTTTCATCCATCACCTGCATATCTATCGAATTTTGTAATGATCCTTGTTTTGCTTGTCGTCCCTGAAAGTTATATTGCTTTATTGGCATCTCTAAATGACGGTGCACTTTGAGTTCTCCACAGTTGATTCTGTTTTATATCTCTTTATTTTTTTCATTGTGACTGAAACTATTTGTTCTTTGCAGCTGAACTTGGACAGGCTACTGGCAAGAATGTGGGATGAGATGGGCCTAGTGAGGGTGTATACAAAGCCACAGGGCCAGCAGCCTGATTTCACAGATCCAGTTGTTCTTTCTACTGTACGTTCTCTTCCCTTCCCTCGGTTGCTTTTCACTCTTGCTTTTCCAAGGAACAGGGGGAATAGGCTGGCTGACACCCGTGTTGTGTACCATCAGGATAGAGGTGGTTGCACAGTCGAGGACTTCTGCAATCATATCCATAGAAGTTTGCTCAAGGATGTGAAGTATGTGCTTGTATGGGGAATCAGCGCAAGGCACTATCCACAGCATTGTGGCCTCAGCCACGGTGTTCAAGACGAGGATGTCATTCAGATAGTAAAGAAGAAGGTTATGATTTCCCCTTGTCTGATTTGGTCACATCTCGAAGCAATATATAAATACAGAGAAATTATTACTTTAAAGGTTAGCTGCGAAGGCGCTAAAACCTGTTAACTGAAACTTTCAGGAAAAGGAGGAGGGTGGGCGAGGCCGGTTCAAGTCGCACACGAACGCACCTGATCGGATATCTGACAGGGTGAAGAAAGCTCCACTGAAGCAATAACTGATACCCTCCCTGAGCGCGTCGCGACCAGCTTCCCCAAATCAGATGGACAACCTTGATCGAGATCATATAATCTGGAACTTGCTGAGCCACGGCGTGCTACTTTTTGCAGCCTTGTTTTGTACTTGTAACCTTCCGTGTCTCGTCACAGTAGCAATACAAATGCGGCGCCACCATGAATGGTGCTTCGTCTTGCTCAGATGATGTGGGCTTATCACTGTGTGTTACCTGTTGTATATGCCAAATACTTGCCAACTCACGCGTTCTGCATAATAGATGATTTCAGTTGTGGGACGAACACCTGCTTATCATCACCAGTCAGATAAGAGAATGGCAGTTTGTGGGACGAACATTTGCTTATCATCAGCGGCCTAGCCTTTGTTGTGGGAAACATCTTGCTTGAGAGACTCGTCTCGTCCCCATTGCTTGGAATGCGCAATGCAGGGCCAGTTTATGGGAAAACACAGGACATGTGAGCCCATCGATCGCACTGGAAACTAGTAATACGCAGGCAGAAACTTGGAAGAAGTGATGGACAGAGATTATTTGTTAATATGTTCTACTAGGAGGAGTAATTCGTTATTTGTTGCCTTTTATTATTCTCGCCCTTGATAGGAATGGAATGGAACAAAGTAATAGAACTCAGTGACTTGTCCCGTGACTTAGAGCCTATTCGTTTACGGCTGAATTGGCTTATAAGCCATGGCTAAAAGTACTGCTGGCTGGTTTGGTGTGAGAGAAAAATACTGTTCAAGCCGTAGATTATAAGCCAGATACGAGCGAATAAGTCAAAACGAACATCTGTTGATTACTAGAGTAGTACTACGTACTAGTCATTGGTCCTATTCGTTTTGCTAAAATTTGGATGATGCAAATGCTGATACTAATTTGTTTGTTGTGAGAGCAAACCGCTGGAAAAGTAGCGATGAAGTGTGCATTCGGGGTTCAGCTTACCCAATTCCTGGCAGCTGCGATCGAGCGTGAGCGTTTGACAAGCACTGTGAAGTGTGGGCACGTGAGGCAATCAGTATCAGCGGTGGTACACTGGGGTAGGCTTCCTGTCTCCTGGCCTGCGTGCTCAGCTCCTGAGGGCACGTACAACGGGCCATCGGATGCCGTCTCTGTGATGTTAATGCAAAAACGCCCCCGTTTCTTTTTATAAATGAAGGAAGAGAATGGAGCCGTCTCTTCGCGAGACGACGGCAAGCGCTCTTTCCGTGCAGCTGCGATCGAGCGTGAGCCGACGACGCGGATCAGCTGTATGTGTGTACACGCGGGCAAGAGAAAGATTGCGCCAGAATCGGGCCTCCTCTCCTGCTCGCAGGCATATTTCGGGCAGCAGCCACTGCCGGACCTTCACATCGCGGCCGTCGCCGGGCCTCCACCCTCCAAATATAGGCGCCGCCGGGCTTGACCGCCCTGCAGCTTCTCCTCCAGATGGAGTGCGCCGGTCTCCGGCACCCTTCATATGTCAATAGCACGAGCGAGGAACCAGCAGCGGCTTCATGGCTAAAAAAAATCTTGCGATTCACCCTGGGGTAGGCTTCCTGTCTCCTGCTCATTGTCATGGTTAATTTGATATTATAAAAGAAAATCAATCATCAATTGCTTCTATTTGTAACAATTAACTAACGCTTGAATAGACTATTTTGTATCGACAAACAACACAATAAGGCCATGAACCATATTCATGCATTAAATAATTCAGGAATGGTTCTAGGAGCGAAATAGACCAGGTGATTTGGTTGCTGATGTCAAGAGTCGAGGAAGCAAAACTTCCAGATCGGCATAGAATGCCGTCTGCGGTTGTACATGCCCTGAGGGAGCGAGGCAGAGATGGACAATAAATAAAATAAATCAATCATCAATTGCATCTCCTTGCCGGAACCCCTGAATACGGCAATCCCGAGACGTCCCCAAAACCCTAAACTGAGCCCCCCTTCGCTCGAATCCCCGGCCGCGGCTTCTCCAATCCGCACGAAGCGCCCTACAAAATGCCGCGGCGCACGCGACCCTCATCCTGGACCACGTCCTGGGCGACCCCTCGGTCCCCGCCGCAGCCGCCCAAGCCCTCCTCGCCGCGCTCCCCTCTCCCTCCAACCCGACCCCGCGCCTCCGCCGCGCGGTCCTCCTCCGCCAGCTCGCCGCCGACCCGGTCTCCGCATCCTCTCTCGAAAACCTCCACCTCCTGGCCTCGCTCCCCGCCTCCCCCTCCGCCGCCGCCGCCCACATCGCCGTCGCGGCATTCCTCGCGGCCTCCGCACCCGACTTCGATTCCACCGCCAGGGAGCTCTTCGCGCGCCGCGCGGTCGACGAGGGAGGTCCCCCCGCGCTCACCTCCGATGTTGTCATCGCCACAGCGGACCAGTTCGAGGCCGCCGTCGGGAACTCCTCCTCCCAGACCATCCTCAGGGGCCTGTGGGGCAACCGGGCCGCGGTGGAGGAGCGGGTCAGGGACCTCCTCGCCGCCGAATGGGCCGCGATTGGGCCGTCGAAGCTCGTGACGGCGGCTGAGCGGATCGTCGGGGATGGGGCCGTCGAGACATGGCGTGCCGCGGATGAGGCCACCCGTGCCAAGTTCCGCATCTTGGGTAAGGACTTTTTTTTTTGGTGTGTGGCAGTGCAGGGCATTGTGGTTTGATGAGTAAAATTTGTTGGTAGCCTCTGAATTGGATGCGTTTCGATGCTATAATTTTGCTCACGCCATTTCTCTCGATCCCGGGGCAGAGAAAATAACTTAGTGTAGAATAAACGCAGATGCAACTCAAGTTTATATACAAGCAATGTAAACTGCCATACATTGTATTTCATTTTGCAGCAGCATTGTGATTTGAGTAGATTGCTTTATCTGTGGTGCAAGTGCAATTCAAGGAACTAGTGTGCAGTGGGGCTTTTCTGTATTTTTTGTGATATAATAAAAAAAATGGGAACATCGAGTCAGATTTTAGAGGTCATATTCATCTTGGTCTAGAATTCCGTTTGCCTTAAAGTGTTGTCTCTGAAACAACCATGAGTTGAAGCTATCCCAAGCAGACTTTAATTGGAGTGTACTCCGTCTTTGCTAATTTTGCTGCTTCTAGTTTATTGTTTATCATAGATCACAAACTACATGATTTTATAATCTTGTGAATACTTTTGATGGTGCCACTACAATATTTTAATGGCTTTATACCACTCACACCAATTATTTTAGTATCTTTTTGTTTTGTCTGCATCTATGTTTCTTATTGATTTTGCAGTTCTATGCACTCCATGTGGAGCCGTTTGGGTTTCATCTCTTTGGGCCAGCTCTAGGTCTTTATGTGCATTATTAGCTGCTAGATGTTTTATTTTTCTTAATTTGCTATGATTCTGGTGTTCACAAGTTCATGGACTTCGTAGCCTATAATTGATTATATGAAATGAAACTTACAGCTGGGGAAGAAAAAACACGTGCAATTCTCGGTAAACTTGAACCTACCTCCAGCGCAAATCCAATTTCAACACCAGCTGTTGAGAAGGCGATTGACGCGCTCAAAACAAGCTGTGCTGACCTCCACAGTGTTGTGGAGGATCCGCTTCCAGCTGCGAAGGCAGTTGCAGATGAGGTATTGGCTGCAAGGATGGATAAAGGAGTTAGCTTGAATGCTGAAGAAGTAGGAGGTCAGCCAACAACTTGTGGTGCTGCAGGCCCGAGTACTCTTAATGATAAAGACCATGGTCCAAGTAGAGGCAAACCTCATAACCTTATGGATCGGAACCCAACAGCACGGACCTCTCAGGTTTGCATTTCTTTTTAAAATATTTTTCTTTGCTTTTGAACATTGTCCATGCTGAACTTGCTTTGGTTGTTAAATTGAATTTGTTGATTGTAATAGCTAGCTTTTGGTGACTAGAGATCTATGTTTGAATAGGAGTGCTTGGAAAACAGCTATTGATGTGCTTGAACCGTGACTAGGGGCTCTTGGTGGGTTTCAACTCTAGCCTACCCCAACTTGCTTGGGGGACTTGCTTTGTTGTTGTTGTTGTAATAGCTAGCTTTTGTCTCCATTGCGATTGAAAATGATATCAGCACCTATATCATGCCAATATTTTGCATTAGACATTGGGTGTGTACTTTTTGGATTGTTTTGTTGATTTAGTTTTCAGTGTGAATTGTTCTCTACATTGCCAAATTTCTGCTCCTGCCCACATTTCCTGTTTTCTTCAAAATCGGGATGATATGTCTTAGGAAATATTTTGAGGACATATGTGCTCTTGGTAGGATGCTTTGACCATGACAAGAAATAATCAAATTTGGTTACAAAACCTGATAATTGTAGGATTTTGTTTCACTTTAGTAAGTTAGCTACTGAAATTAGGACTTCGGATTATGAATGCTCTACTACAGTCCCTGTTCGCATGACACTTAAAAGTAAACTTACTGTAGTATAATTTGAGCTCAATCAAGATACCTCATACCATTTTACGTAGCTTATAGCTCAGTATCATAACTGCAAAATTTTCGATTTTGGTCATGTTTCTAAAAATAAAACACTTGTTTGCAGTGGGAGGATTCACCTGATGTTGAGGGGTCAGAATCATCATTACGCAGACCGCACTTGCCTAGCCCAAGGAGAATGCCACCACCTCCTTTGCCACCTCCAGAAAACAAAAGTAAAGCGTAGAAGGGCAAGGAAGTGGAGCTTGTTAGAAGAAGAAACACTGAGAAAGGGTGTTCAACAGTATGTTATTTTGTCTTGATTTTCAGATATTATTGTTTGACATCTCAGCTTTCTTGTTCTAAAACGCTGGTGTTTAAATTGCTGTTGCTGTATGTTCCTCAACATAATATTGTGCTTGTTTCATGTGGAGGGATATTTTAAATAACAATCTTGACGTTTTTATCGGCAGAACAACGGTGAGCATTTGGTTATTAGTGGAGTTGCTGTGGTTGCAAATCAATGTAGTGACTGGTTGTATGTATTGTAGGTGGACTTGAAGGATAAGTGGAGGAACATGATTTAGCGATGATGTAACGGAGAAACATGTACGTCCCTGTTCGTTTTGCCCCCAAAACCATGGGGATCTGGGAGGATTGGAGGGGATTTAGGAGGATTTTGACTTGTAGGGGATTTAATCCCCCTCCCCTGCCCCTTGGGACAGGACTAACTTCACGCTCTAGAGCACGTTGTAATGGTTTACTAGGGTGAAGTAGGTAGCCTGTTAGTCGTGATGTATTTAGCGAAGCACGGTAGACTCTATCGAACTCCAGTTTCGCAAATCTCGGCCAAACTTTGTGACAGAATCACAGAATGCTTATCGAGTTGCTGATTCGCCGCACAGATGTATTATGAACTATATTTTATATTTTTATGTACTTGCCCTCATGCCATGCATGCTTGCATTGTACTAGCTTCACTCGCATATTATGGAATTTTGTGTAGGATCCTAAATCTATAGAAACTAGACGATGCCCCGCGCGCATTGCTGTGGGGATTTTGTAGTGCTTTACGTGATCACGATGGGAGAAATATTCCTTTGCTTCTTCATGATTGTAGCTCCAAATATTAATGGAAAACAGTGGTCCATCTTCAGTAAAGCCTAACAAAACGCCTATCAATCAAATAGATATCTTGATAATGAAAATAAACATATCTGGTATATGACAAAAGAGGAAGACATCTAACTGTACTGTCTTGGCCTCCAAATGACCACGTTTAAATTTTGTCAAAAAAATACACTTAGATAACGGAACAGGGGTATCAGTTGTGGGATCCACCTCAAAGAAATCACCACACGTCAAAATTTATCTTCCATCTCAACAAAAAAAGCAGCCGCCCCTATTTCCATTTCACCTAAAAAAGCAGCCGCCCCTATTAAAAAATAAAAAATCAACCACAAATCAGCCACGACGTTATATATACAAAAGAAAAGAAAAGAAAAGAAAAGAAAATAACCATGACATTACCTTACGCACGCGTGACGGGCTAACGGCGCGGATGCCCTCTCACCCACCCATTCGTCTTCCCTCCCAACACGCTGCGTCAGAGCTCTGCTCAGATCCGGATGTCGCCTCATCGCGTTGATGGCCAGCATATCAAAATTCCGTCGACGAGGGAGGCGAGAGCGTGGTGAGGGAGCCGTCGCGGGCTGAGAAGCCATAAGTTATTCGAGAATAAGTTATTCTATGACCGTAGAAAACCTTAACAAGCTGCTTGTTATTCTATGACCATGGAAAAGCTTATCGAGCCATGTTCTTTAGCTTATCCAGTCTACGAGCTAGCTGTTTTCAGAATTATGCCTCCTCGATTGATCTAGCTATTAGACGTGTGTGGCCAATATACCATACAGTATAGTCCAGTGCATGCACAGTACGCCTCTTATAGTACAATAATAGTAAGACACGTCCTATATACTTGCATTGGAGTCATCATACGGGAGGCTTTTACTTGTGTACTCTTAAAAAAAATGCCATACTCCTACGTATCCCTTAAAAGTTGGTCGTCACCTACATGCCATCGTTTGAACTTTTCTTTTCCCTCACGCCATTCTGTCGGCATTCTGTTAGGTTTTGGCCATTTGGCGGCTCTGACATGTGGGATCGGGCTAGAAAAATATCCTCCTTGCCATCTGGGTCACTGACATATTGGGCCGCCGCGTCGTCGTGCGCCGCGGGGGCGGGGCCGGGGCCCGGCGCCCGCGGCGGCGTGATGATGCACCGGTTCTTGCCGGCTGCGCACGCCGTGGCCGCCAGATCCCCGCCGTGCGCCTTCCGGAAGGCGGGGTCCGCGCAGCCAAAGGCGGCTGCCTTTCCAGCACATTGCCACGAACCACTTGCCGCCCCTCTCTCCTGAACGCAAGAACGACGGCGGGAACGACGACGAGGCCGAGTCCGACGCGCACAGCACGCGGGGGTTCGCGTCCAGGCGGTGCGGGCTGTTGCCCACCCGGTGCGTGAAGAGCGCCATGCTGCTCTCCTACGGATCGCGGCGAGGGACGGGCAGGCCGTTCCTGTCAACCTGCGGCGGGAGCAAGAGGGTAATGGATCCGCTGCTGCAGAACGCGTAGCAGCTGCAGCATACCGGAGACGATTCCAGCATGGTAGTCCATTGCTGTCACTGCTCCATTTCCTCGCGTGCATGAACTTCAATTCACTTGCTTGGGTGCTGATGAATAATGAATTGATTGCCATGTCCCAAGTCGCTGCTCCGATCAGGCCGCGGCGAGCTGACGGGGCCAGGGGCCAGCGGCCACCGTGGCCTCGGAGTCGGAGCTGGACAGGACGGTGCGCGAGCTCTACAAACGCCGAGGGGGGCAGGCCGCGGTGCACCCGAAAACGAGCCATCTGGGGCTGCTCCTGGTTCTCGACAGGTCAAACGAGGATCGCGGCCACGGCTCGTCGGCGCGGAGGAAGCAGGTCTCGAGGACCAGCGACACCGCGCTGCTGCTGCCGGCTGCAGCAAGCTCGCCGGCGAGCGCCGAGAAGAAGCTCGGGCGTGGCCCGGCCGCCGGTGGATACGGGTTCCCGCTGCTTCTGGAGGACAAGGAGGCCGTTATTGCCGGGCGTGAGATCGTGCTGTCGCCGCCGCAGCCGCCGCTGCTCCAGCCGCCGTTGCCCAAGTAGCCGTCGGAGTCGTGGCTCTCGCGCGCGCTGCCGTCCGTGTCGACTCGGCCCCCGGCTACGTCCTTCCTGGGGCTCCATGTGCAGTCCAGGAAACACTCTCCGTTGCCGTGGTGCTCCATTGATTCGGCCAGGGTGGACGGTCATGGCGGCCAACGGCACATACGTGTGCACGGTCCGCTGAAGTGACTTTAACTTGTTCTGGCGTTTGTTGTGATCGCACCGCCTGCTGTTTACTGCTGATCGACACTGTCCGGAATGTTCAGGTGACAGAAAAAAGGCTGGTTTAATTGGATGACCACGGTGCCGGAAGTCCATGGTGAACGCGTCGTCCTCGATCTTCCCAAACTGTAGGATCACCATCTCCTTATCTCCGACACATTGCAGTTCGGGCAAAGCACACGCCGCCTTGGCGTACCCCCATAGCTGCTGCTACCTTGTGACATGGCTGTCAAAGAGAGAGGACTCAAGAGAGTGGCAACTCCCTGGCCTTTGGCGTCAATATATAGGAGGAGAAGGGCAGGCTCTTTGGCGCCAAATCCTTGTCTTTTGACGCCAACAGCGGCATCTCTGGCGCCAAAGCCAATTGGTCTGGCAATGGCATAGGGGAAACGAAAAAGTTCAGACGCCCATACAAGCCCAAGGGCAACTGAGTCATTCTCCAGAGCCGTTACCCACCGTTAGGAGCAAATGCCGACGGAATGGCGTGAGGGAAAAGAAAAGTTCAAGCGAGGGCATGTAGATGACGACCAACTTTTGAGGAGTACGTATGAGTGTGGCATCTTTTTTAAGTGTACAGAGGTAAAAGCCTCATCATACGGCTAGCAAACTAGTATATACAGTAAGAACACACATGCACGACACGATAAGGTTAACTAGTTTAATTATATTGTGGTCGGTTTATGTTGGCGATTAGCTGGTTTACGTTGGTCGCCCCAATGCTACGCTATGTATCAAATGCGTATCTTATTCATCTATCTATTAGGAAGACATTATTTCCTTAGCCCTAAAGAAAGTGATGTTTAGTTAGTTTCTTGGCCCTTTTTCTCTCGAACTTGCTTATTTTCTCAGGATTCTTGGTTCTTCCGTTAGTTTGATAGGCTAACGCTGTTAAGTTGTATGCAAAATTACTGTGTTTTACCACTAACGCTGAAAGCAACAGTTCAACGACCTACCGTTGCGCTATATAGGTCTTTTAGACCGCTTACTATCAATAATTTTCCCAAAAAAGATATAATATATTTTTTCAAGCATGTAATCATTATTATTTTTTATATATATTTGCATATATATTCTTGCTTTAAAAATGTATATATAAAATAATGATTCCATGTTTGGAAAAAATATTGTACCTTATTTTAGGATAAGTTATTGATAGTAGGCAGCCTGAAAGATTTGTATAGCATAATTGTAGGTTGATGAACTATTGCTTTCAGCGTTAGAGGTAAAACAGTGGGTGTAACTTAACACCGTTAATCCGTCAAACTAACCGAAGGGAAAAAAAACAAAGGAAGGGCCAATAAGCAAGTACGAGAGAAAAAAACAAAAAAAAAACTAAGCAGCCTTTCGGACCAAGGAAACGACATCCGGATAAAGGCAAAAGTCTATGTGAAGCAGACTTCTACCTAAACAAGTCTACATGTATATAGTTGTACCCGTGGGGGTATATATAATAATAACTGCACTACTCATGCTTATGCAGGTCTAGGCCTTGTTTAGATGCACACCAAATTAGTTTTTACCGTAGGCTACATCGCATTGCATGGGTGGGGTAAAAAAATAACTAATATCCTCCTAGAATAGTAGTGAATCTAGCATGGTGGACAATACTGGTGGGAGATTGAAAAATTTGCAAAGAGAACAAGGCGAGCACCGTAGCAGGCATATCCTCCTAGAATAGTAGTACTAGCATGGTAGACTGGTGGGAGTGGAGTGAGTGGGCGAGCACGAGCAGGCTTGAGCCATCACCGCCGCCGTGGGCTGGGGAGCGCGCGGGCCCGAAATTTTACACCGGTGGAAGGGGGGCCGCCGGCCTGGCCCGCGTCCACGTTGCTCGGTTTGCTGCCATCCAACAGCCGTGCGCAGCAATCAAAGGCAGGCAGCCTCTGCCTATCCTCCGTCGTCGTCGTCGTCTGTGAGTCTGTCTCTAAACAACTATTATTATTGCAGCAAGCACTCCGATCCTTCAATTCGTCCCCCTCCCCCTAACACTCTTCGTCAAATGCTGATGTTAGACGGTCTCCGACGAGCCGGACCTAAAAACTAAAAACAAGAGGCATTCGATGGCTAGGGTACCACACACAGTGAAAGGGTCACGGACCAAAAAACTTCTCTTTTCCAACCGGCGACGCAAACGAGAAGCCGCGCGCCGCCCGCCTCGCCGCA